CATTTGCACAGTTTATTTTATTTATTAGACGATTACCCCACAACACACTATGTCCAAGATATTTTTTGTTACCCTGAACGATTTAACTATGATAAGGATATCCCCACCAACAGACATTAGTTCCTCATCACCCTAAGGACGATATTTTGCCTTAGATTTTTAATCAATTTTCCTAACTAGCGGTGACTAATACCTCCGAATGGGGGTTTCTGGCTAATTGGGTTACCCTCCATATTATTATATATAGCGTTTTCTCATATATATGACATAATACTATCAACTATACATACCATACAATCATATTAACAGACTCTCTGCTAACCTAAGGACTACATTTTTGCATAACTACTCATTTTTTCTTAATAAATAATAAAAAAGTTTGAGACCCAACTCAAATGGGTTCTTGGCCAATATGGTGATCCACAATACCATCATAGCGTTTTTATTTCTGAACACTTAATCATATATAGTGTACTCCTATTTAGGACCCAACACTACCATATTAGCCTATTGGTTTTTACCAATAAGAACTGACATATATAATCATGTCAGTTTGACAACTTAATCTAATTATATTACTTCTAAACGAAATAAATTATCATTAAAAACAGACCAGTAGTTAAACCACACTACTGGCATCAATGTACACTATTACATTTCGTTACACTCCTACAATGATCAAACAATCTTCTCCTGAACTAATATACAATTAATAATCCCTACTGAGGCACCTGTAAGGATTGTCTCCTCTATGGGACTCCTATTAGGTATCCGGCACCTCGGGAGCTAACTCTTCTCCCTGTGCCCAATTAGACACACGCCACTCATCCTAAGTGACATGCCCCCCTATGGATATCATTCGTGAGCGTCATTGACGTCACAGATCCAAGGGGCGTGACCTATTATGTTTAAAAAGTGGCGCGTGCAGTCCACAGCCAGCTCTTTACAAAGGCGCATGGTATCGCCGAAACGCGCGTTGGGCATGTACAATGGCATGAGCACTTCCCTCTTTCTACTGCTAATACCTCTCCCTATACAACCAAGCATTCTTCTAGCATTTCCTGCTGCTCTATTATATTGTCTGCCTACCTTTAAGTCATCAGAAATAATCACCCCTAAATCCCTTTCCTCATATGTTGAGGTTAGGACTCTATCAAATATTCTGTACTCTGCCCTTGGGTTTTTACGTCCAAGATGCATTATCTTGCACTTATCCACATTAAATTTCAGTTGCCACAATTCTGACCATTTTTCTAGTTTACCTAAATCATTTGCCATTTGGCTTATCCCTACTGGAACATCAACCCTGTTACTTATCTTAGTTTCATCAGCAAAAAGACATACATTACCATCAAGACCTTCTGCAATATCACTAATAAAAATATTAAAGAGAATGGGTCCAAGTACAGATCCCTGAGGTACCCCACTGGTGACAAGTCCAAGCTTCGAATATATTCCATTAACTGCAACCCTCTGTTGCCTGTCACTCAGCCACTGCCTTACCCATTCAACAATATTGGAATCCAAACTTAAAGATTGCAGTTTATTGATAAGCCTTCTATGTGCAACAGTGTCAAAAGCCTTACTGAAATCTAGGTAAGCAATGTCTACTGCACCACCCTGATCTATAATTTTAGTTACCCAATCAAAAAAATCAATAAGATTGGTTTGGCATGATCTCCCTGAAGTAAGCCCATGTTGTCTCTGATCTTGAAATCCATGTGTTTTTAGATGTTCAACAATCCTATCCTTTAACATGGTTTCCATCACTTTCCCCACTACTGAAGTAAGGCTTACTGGCCTATAGTTGCCCGAATCTGGGAATTCCACAGCATTCCAAAGATCCCTCCCCTCAACTCTGTTTAACTATTTGTGTAGAAGCATATTCACAGCGGTGTACACTACTGAGCGAGTAACTTTTTGTAGCTTGCAAAATATAGATACTACCTTTCGATATTATTATTTACTAGGATATTACAGTTGGGGAAGAGTTCATCATTTACTCTTGTACTCTCATCCCAAGCTTCCCGGTCGATTTATTATTCAATCTGGAGTTTGCTGCTATATACTTCCCTAAATATCTCTCTATTCTTAAAGGACCACTCTAGGCACCCAGACCACTTCAGCTTAATGAAGTGGTCTGGGTGCCAGGTCCAGCTAGGGTTAACCCATTTTTTTTATAAACATAGCAGTTTCAGAGAAACTGCTATGTTTATGAATGGGTTAAGCCTTCCCCCTAATCCTCTAGTGGCTGTCTCATTGACAGCCACTAGAGGCGCTTGCGTGCTTCTCGCTGTGATTTTCACAGTGAGAGCACGCAAGCGTCCATAGGAAAGCATTGTAAATGCTTTCCTATGCGACCAGCTGAATGCGCGAGCAGCTCTTGCCGCGCGTGCGCATTCAGCCGGCGGGGAGGATCGGAGGAGGAGAGAAGGAGGAGAGCTCTCCGCCCAGCGCTGGAAAAAGGTAAGTTTAAACCCCTTTCCCCTTTCCAGAGCCGGGCGGGAGGGGGACCCTGAGGGTGGGGCACCCTCAGGGCACTATAGTGCCAGGAAAACGAGTATGTTTTCCTGGCACTATAGTGGTCCTTTAAGTACTTTCCTGATGAAAGTCTGTGATACAGACTGAAACGATGATTTTTATTTTGAGCTAATAAAAGCTAAGTTTTATTCATTCGACTTGGAAGTCCCTGAAGTGCTATCTTGTACTTTTGGCTCTATAGTTATATCAAAATACACTTAGAATGAACATATATATATATATATATCTATGTATATCCCCTTAACAACCGTGGACATACTAGGACAAAAAACAGTCGTTAAGGTACATCCGCGGCAAAAAGGAGCCCTGGACTTACCTGGACCGGTGATCCGCAGCGATCACGGTTGTGGGGGACTGCTAGAGACCCCAGCAGTCCTCCTGGCCACCCCGGCCCTCCAGGGCCATGTGATCACCATGATCACATCGCTGCAATAAAAGTCTAGGAGCTGCCAGCAGGGGGACTGTCTAAGCTGTCAGACCGACCCCAAGGCTGCTAAAAAGTAAAAATAAAATAAATATATTATACATATATTATACACGTTTGATATATTATAAAATAATTAAATCATTTTATATTATACATATATATGATTACATTATAAGTGTACCTTGTGATATATATACACATATATCTCAAAATACACTTATAATGAAATCATATATATGCTTTATATATGTATAATATATTATAAAATGCTTTAATTACAATATATTATACATATATAGGAAATAAGTGTGTGTGTATATATATATATATATATACATATATATACACACACACGTATATATATACAGGTGATACTCAAAAAAATAGAATATCGTGCAAAAGTTAATTTTTTACAGTAAAGCAACGTAAAAGGGGAAACTAATATATGAGATAGTCGCATTATATGCAAAGCAAGATAGTTCAAGCCATGATTTGTCATAAGTGCATTGATTATGGCTTACAGCTCATGAAAACCCCAAATCCACAATCTCAGTAAATTAGAATATTACATGCAATCAATAAAACAAGGAGTGTACATAGAACAATATCGGACCTCTGAAAAGTATAAGCATGCATATGGACTCAGTACTTGGTTTGGGACCCTTTTGCAGCAATTACTGCAAATTACATGGGTGGAGTCGGAGTGTAGTGGGTCCGCATGCAGGGTCCAAGCTCCAGGAGATCGCCCACCTCTCCCTCGTCCAAGCCCCAGCAGGTCGCCTTCATGCTCTCGGGCTGTCATCGACAGTAGTTTCATGGTAAGCATAATATTGTGTGCCCGGAGTCTCCTGAGTATTGTGTCTGCCAAGTTTTTTGCATTTGGTCCCAGTATTTAAGCTCAAAATTACAGTTCTCCTCGTTTTCATGCAGGAGCTCAAACTGTGCACGTCTGCTCGGCTTGACAGACAGGCTCCGGCCCCATTTAATTTTTTCCATTTGGCATAGGTTGGTGGTAAAATGGTTGCTTGAAAATAGTCAAAATACCCCAAATTTAATACCTTAGGTTGGCTTCTTTTAAAAAAATATATACATGTGAAGGGTTATTCAGGGATTCCTGACAGATATAAGTGTTACGATGTAAAGTGCTACTTGTACTTATAGCCCTAAAACTTTCCCCAAAAAAGCTAAGAATATGTTAACATTGGATATTTCTAAACTCAGGACAAAATTTAGAAACTATTAAAGGTTCGCTATAGGGTCAGGAACACAAACGTGTATTCCTGACCCTATAGTGTTAAAACCACCATCTAGCCCCCGCGGGCCCCTCATGCCTCCATAAATATAGTAAAAATCTTACTGTATTCAAGCCTGAAGCTGTAACTCTGCATTCTGTTAGACTCAGAAAAACAAGCAGTCTGCTGACATCATCAGAAGTGGTAACCTGATCCAATCACGGTGCTTCCCCATAGGATTGGCTGAGACTGACAAGGAGGCAGATCAGGGGCAGAGTCAGCATGATTCAAACACAGCCCTGGCCAATCAGCATCTCCTCATAGAGATCAATTGAATCAATCAATCTCTATGAGGAAAGTTCAGTGTCTGCATGCAGAGGGAGGAGATACTGAATGTTTGGATGCATTTTAGACAGCCATGGCCCAGGAAGGATCTCTAACAGATATCTGAGGAGTGGCCAGTAAAGTTATCACTAGGCTGTAATGTAAACACTGCATTTTCTCTGAAAAGACAGTGTTTACAGCAAAAAGCCTGAAGTGAATGATTCTACTCACCAGAACAAATTCAATAAGCTGTAGTTGTTCTGGTGACTATAGTGTCCCTTTAAGGACACAGCTTCAAAAGCTTGTCTTACCCTTAAGGACACAAGCCATTTTTGCATTTTTTGCTGTTTGCTGTCATTTATTGCACCAACACATATTATATACCATTTTTTAAAGGACAAACAGGGCTTTAATTATTCTTTTACATATACATAGATAAATTCTCATTAATTATAAAAAAATGACAAAAAATGGTGGGAAAAAACAACAACAAAATAAATTCACAGTTTTGGCAATAATAGCGTGTGCATAATATGTCCAGCTTAGAAAAAGTAATTTGAAATAAATTCATTTATGTGTCTTGATTTATAGAGTACATAATATGTATAGGATTTCAGCTTATTTTGAAAGTTACAGGTCACAAAATACAAGGACTAAAATAATATTTTAATGTGAAACAATTTTAGAAGTTGGTATGTTTGTCTTGTAGGTTTAGTAGCCATCACAGAAAACAAAATTGCCACACAAAAGTATATATTTATATAAAGTAGACATCACAGGCTATTTACCTAAGGTTAGTTTGAATCTTTTTACATAGCCATTTCATCGCCAATCTTTGCTAAATATTGGAGTAAAATTGTGTTTTTTCTCTATTTTGGCATATACACATAAAACAAGGTTTTTGTAATGTGTATTTTGTAAAGCTGGTGTGTGCTATTCCTGCACAGAACCCCATATTGTGTTCAGCTACATCTGCTGAGTATAACAATACCCCCATTGCATGCCTTTGGCTCTATTCTGTGAAGCTACAATGCCATATAAGAGACAATGCTATTTCAGTTTCTATAATTAGAATTTTCGTAGATGGATTTTTCTTATTTTAGGGTATTATAGCAGTGTGACTGTTCAAATAACCCCACAAAGTGCTTTCATTTGATAAAGCAGACACCCCAGGGTATCTTATATGGTGTATATTGTGCCTTAACTTGTCACCATTTGATGTCAATGTTTGTGGTGGGGAGAAACAAAAATTGCATTTTTACATATATGTTGCATTTTTTGCTGAGCATTTCTTACACTTGATATTTACCACTGCCATAAAACCCCCCAAATTATGCTCAGTTACATCTTCTGAGTAAAACAATATGCCTATGTATGACCTAGACACTATTTTGTGAACTTACAGTGCTGTAAAAGAGACGTGACAAGTTCAGGTTTTTAAGTGTGAATTTTCATGGAGGGTTTTGATGCATCCGTGTCCCACTTTGGAGCACTTGATCAGGCTACATATTCTAACTACACCATGGGTCGTCAACCTGGTCCATACCGCCTACTAGTGGGCGTTTCAGGATTCCAGGTGGGCGGTATGGATTTCCTCAATTTCAGAGATTAGGTGGGCGGATGCGAGCCGGTGGTACCCCTGCGACCTGGTACCGCCATCACCATTTGCTGCCCCAGCCCGTGCGGCAAACCGCCAGGGCCGCCGTCCAAGGCGTCCATCGGGTGGACCATGCTGTCAGGGCCACCCGATGGATGTGGATTGTAAGGGGGCCCCGGTCAGTGCTGGGCACTTTAACAGCACGACCGGGCCCCCTGTGATTACATCATACAGAGCTGGGAGGAAGTAACCACACGTCACTCCTCCCAGCTAACACATAGAACACGCGGGAGGAAGCAGAGGGAGTCAGAGTGGGAACTCTGACTCCCATCCACCTGTGCCACCACTGGACCCCAGGGAAAGTCACTCTCCTGCACCTAAAAGGTAGGAAACAGGAGGGTGACTAAAATATGTTGTGTGTGTGTGTGTGTCTTTGTATGTATATGTGTCTTTGTATGTATGTCTTATGTGTGTGTATGTGTGCATGTCTGTGTGTCTGTCTGTTTGTATGTATGTGTGTCTTGTGTGTGTGTCTGTATGTATGTGTGCCTGTCTGTTATAGTGGGCTATAGTAAGTAATAGTAAGTGGGCTACCTAGCTCAGCCTTCCTACTGGGCATTGCTATAAGTAAGGTTAAAAAAAAAAAATTCTACCTTTTTGACACACAAAGTGAGTTTACACAGTATATTTTGCAAAACTTATGTGTGCTACGACTGTATAATACAGTAGTTCATATGTTGCACAGCTATGTCATCTGAGTACAGCAATACCCCCGTATGGACCTTTGCAAGGTATATGTGAATGTTAAAGGGGCACATTTGAGACACAGCCATTCAGTTTTTTCTAACTTTGAAGTTTTACGCTGTGTCCATGTTCCATTTTGGAGTAGTTTAGCTGGTTGGCTATTCAAACTTCCCCACAAACACATACTTTTTATTAAAGAATACACCCAGGGGTAATTCAAAAGGCATATTTTGAACATTCTTAACGTAAGTATAGGTATAAGTCGCTATCCCTCGAGCCCTAATTTGAGCTGCGCTATGCTGAGTAACATATCAACAGGTAAATAAACATTCTATCATTAGTGGTGTCCGTAGAGCCCGGTTATTCATAATCTCTAAGCAGTGTCCTTGGGATTGTTTCTTTCAGCTGCATTCATGTGGACTGTTGGTGTGCTGGGGCGGTGCGTGGGATGAATGGGACACTGTTATCCGGGTCCCAGGTTCCCTCTAGGGTTTGTGTGTCCGCCGCTTTCAGTCCCAGAGTTTCAAGAAAGGTTGTGGCTTCTGCAAGAGAGGTAAGTGTGTGGGTAGTCCCGTTGTGAGTGGCTAGCAGCGATCCTGGTGCCCCCCACCTGTAGCTCATGTTGGCTGCTCGCAGTTGTTGGGTCACTGGGTGGAGTGACCGGCGCCATTGGAGGGTGGCCCTCGTTAGGTCTTGATAAGAGGTTAGGCTGGAGTTCTCAAACGATAGTGGGGTTTTGCCCCGCAGTGCCGCCATTATCTGTCCCTTGTCTAGTGAGGATATACAGCGTAGGATGACATCACGTGCTGTTTGTGAGGGAGCTCTTGGGGGGCCTGCTACCCGGTATATGCCGACGGTTACCAGTTTTCTTGCCAACACTGGAGGTAATATTATTGCTATTAGCCTTCTTATGTAATGTGGCAGCTCTTCTGATGTGACACTCATTGGAATGCCGCAGATTTTGATATTATTGCGTCTATGGCTGTTCTCTAGGGCATTCAGGTGCAGGGTCAGATTGTGTTGGGACTTTTGGAGCTGTTGCACCGAGGCCTGTAAGCTTGTCAAATTTGTTGTGACTTCTGTCATGTCAGCCTCTGTGGCAAGCACCGGGTCGTTTGTGCTTTGTAAGTCAGCTCTGAGTCCTGCAAGCTCCTTCGCCAGCATTTTGTGGAAATCATGCAGGAGCATCTGCAGGTCATGTTTGGTCGCTGGTGGCGATCCCCCTGGGGGAGCTGGTGGTATGGTGCCGAAGTCGGTGCTCCCTGGTTGATCAGTGTGGTCCCTTTGTGCGGTAGCTGTTTGGCTTTCTTCTGGGGTCGGTTTGGGCTTAGCGGGTTGTTGTAACACCGCCCCTATGTCTCTCCCTTCTGTCTGGTTGCTGGCTTTCTGGGAACGTCGTCCCATGGCAGGCATGTGGTCCACCAGACTGGGATGGGGTTCGGTAGTCAAGTTAGGTGCCAGGCCTTGGTAAACTCCGCCGAGGAGCGCCTTCAGGTCAGGCAGTGGCTGCGTGGAGTAGGCCCCGGCCATACGTTGCCGTTTTGGTGTCGTCTTTTTTTTTTAAAAGAAGGGCATTGATCGATGCAGCTCGGTGTCGCAAGTCGGAGTATGGGTCTAGGATGGTGGGCTCTATGGAGATTCTCCATATTGAAGCGAGATAGTAAAGATTAGAGCAGGAGCTGTCAGCAATGGCGTCTGATCAGCTCGGTGGTTAGCTCCGCCCCCCTTTTTGAAACTTTTTAAAACTCGTTATTAAACTTTTGTTTTAACTTATTACATTTTTTAAACTTTCTTAACTTTTTTTTTTACCGTTAACCCCTAACTAGCAGTAAGCAGCACTAACAGTAAATTCCCCAATTTAACATAACTCCCACCCACCCCAGCTAGCAAAATATATAGGTTTTAAATATTGAAATTAATTAATGAAATAACTGAACCCCTGAGGGTTAAAACAATAAAGAAAAGTTAATCCTCAGGGCTTAAAAAATTAGATCAGTATATAATACCGCAGAATGTAAAAACAGCCCTGGTTTAATGGTAAGAAAATTGACAAACGGCCTGGTCACTAAGGGGTTAATTATCTGAAGTGGTTATCGTGCTAAGAATGTCCACTTTAAGGCTGGCTGAGCATTATAGTAATTGTAGCTCAAACCCTGTGTAGTGCCAAGGGAGGTCCTCCCACCATGCTCTCCATAGCCAGCTGTCACGGTGCCCTGACACTAACCCCCCACCCCTCCCTCCTGCTTTCCCTTCCCGACTTTGGAGGCTCCGCCTCTTTCTTCCCAGAATCCTTGGCGGCGATGACTGGCGCCGCTGTCTTGCCCTGCCACCAATCAGGAAGCTGGGCGTACATGTGAGCCAGGCGCTGATATCCATGCGCGACGGAGCTCGGCCCCCTTTTACCCAGCGCGCCTGAATCCTTCCGCGCCACGCTTCCTCCCTCCGGCAGCTCGCCCGGCACCGCCCGAGCACTGACCCGGCACAGCCCGCATGGAGCTCATCAATATCCTCGAGAAGACCGTGTCTCCGGGTAGGCGTGGGGGGGGAGAGAGTTGGGGGAGGGTAGGAGTACCGAGCCGGTGGCTGAGTATGAGAGCAGTTACCGGCTGTTAGAGAGCCGTTGTGTGAGGCGGTGACCGGCTGTGTGTGTGGTGACAGCCGGGGGGACAGTACGTGCAGCCTCCGGCCCTGACCTTCTTCTCTCCCCACAGACCGCAATGAGTTGGAGGCGGCGCAGAAGTTTCTGGAGCAGGCGGCCATCGAGAACCTGGTGAGAGAGCGGGGCTGGCGGGGGGGGACTGTAAGAGAGAGCGGCCTGGTGTCAGTCAGTGAGGGCGGCCGGGCCGGGTGTCTGTCGGTGTGTGTGTGAGGGCGGCCGGGCCGGGTGTCTGTGTGAGGGCGGCCGGGCCGGGTGTCTGTGTGAGGGCGGCCGGGCCGGGTGTCTGTGTGAGGGCGGCCGGGCCGGGTGTCGGTGTGTGTGTGAGGGCGGCCGGGCCGGGTGTCGGTGTGTGTGTGTGAGGGCGGCCGGGCCGGGTGTGATGGCGGTTTATCAGTCAGTGAGCGGGCAGCTCCCAGTTCAGGTTTCCCGCCGTGTACCCGGCTAGGCCCGAGCCGTGTGACGCCCTCCCCGGTCTCTCCTGTCAGTGAGAGCAGCGGCCTTGGCCGGCAGTCACTCCAGGCCTCACTGTATCCGCCAATAGCAGGCGCAGCCTAACCTGCCCGCCATGCTGCGCCAGCCAATAGGGAGCCGAGCTGAGCGCGAGCCGGCTGCCTTCCGACCAATCAGAGCGCTAGGCCAGGGAGCGGCGCGAGAGGCGGTGGCAGAGCACGCTGGGTTGCATGGAGGAGTGATCCTCGATGTGTAATGCCGCCATGTGCGGCCCAGGGCTCTCAGTACATCATCCTCAGGCAGCGTCTAGCCACACTGGGTGCCCGGTGTTATAGGAGTCATGGCTTCTGACACAACAACTCATGAGGGCCATGCTTCCTATATTACTTGGCCAGTCATTAGCGACTATGTTATGCCCCCATTTGTATTAAGGTGTTCCCATATGATAAATACTGCTTGACATAAAAGCTGCCCGTTGTGGTTTATGGACCTTGTGTGAAACATGGCTGCCAACATATAACCGGCCACCGAATATTGACTCTATTTGAGTTGTATTCTTGAAGTGTGGGTGGTTAGGGTATACCAAAACTAAATGTTTGGCAGTTACAGCGGCTTGAACGTGCCTGCATATTATTAAGCTGCCTGACCAATGCCAGGCACTTGGAATCTAAGCTGTATTGCAAGATTTTAAGTTGTTGTTGTTCTGCTTTTAATGCACGAGAAATAGTTTTTAACCTTGAGTGTCAAGGGTTCGCCATCAATTACTTATCCTACCTAAAGGGACATGGGGTAGAAGACCAATTGTATCGAAAAGCAAAATGCATTCTTTCATGTTAACTCTTTCCTTAGGTAAAGGATTACATACAGTATTGATTTCTTCATAACTTTTGTCAATATCTGCAGCCTGTTTTATGCTTTTTTGGTTTGTTTTACTTCTGCTAATATGGTGAAGGATGTTTATTGTATTATTTGAAGTTGTTAAATTGAACCAGTTTCTTCATTCATTGACGTGTTATGGTGAATATTCAGAAAATCTCAGGTCATAAACTTTTTTTTTTTTTTTTGGATCTGTGTATAAACAAAAATAGCTGACCCTTATAGACACTTCAAATATTATACATTAGAATATCAATCAAATATTCTACGATGCAACTTGTCAAATTGTAACCACATGTCTAATGCTGGTTATCTTGACAAAGATGGGCATCGTATTCTTACATATTTAAAATAAACTCTGTGAACTTCGGTTGAGAAGTCATTCAGCTAGAATATTCATAAATATTAGAATTAAAAGTTCTGCTTCTGTAATCCATCTGTAGCGGATTAGGCTATGACAATAGAATGAAGTAAGACAGACTTCAAGTTGCTCGTAAAGTTTCTAGGATATATAGATATATAGCGAGAGAGCAAGATATTCTGTCTATCTATTTAATAGCAATTTGCAAATACATCTTCCTACTTCAGTGAGGTGTAGTGGAAAACACAGTCCTCATTTATGGTGGGAACTGTTGTGATACTCAACAATAGTATCACAAGCAATCTTTGAGGAAAGTAGATTTCTTCCAGAATAATTAGACATTTATAGGGTTTGGTGTCATAATGGTTATTTGCACTAAATTACATTTCAGGCTATATATTTATGGTGGTCCTTACTCTAGAAAACTTAATTTAAAGGGACACTATAGTCACCAGAACAACTACAGCTTATGAAATTTGTTCCAGTGAGTAGAATCATTACCTTCAGGCTTTTTGCTGTAAACACTGTCTTTTCAGAGAAAATGCAGTGTTTACATTACAGCCAGGTGATAACTTCACTGGTCAGTCCTTAGATGGCTGTTAGAGATCCTTCCTGGATCGTGGCTGCCTAAAATGCATCCAAACATTGTGTCCCCTCCCTCTGCATGCAGACACTGAACTTTCCTTATAGAGATACATTGATTCAATTCATCTCTGAGGAGATACTGATTGGCCAGGGCTGTGTTTGAAGTGTGCTGGCTCTGCCTCTTTGTCAGTCTCAGCCAATCCTATGGGGCAGCATTATGATTGGATGAGGCTACCACTTCTGCTGATGTCAGCAGGCAGTGGGCAGGTCTAAAGGAAATGGGGACAAAGTAAGCAGCTGCAGTCTTCAATAAAGTAAGATTTTACTATATTTTGAGAGGCATGAGGGGACCAGGGTGGCTAGATGGTGGTTTTAACCCTATGGAGTCAGGAATACATGTTTGTGTTCTTGATCCTATAGTGCTCCTTTAAGCATTTGCATGGTGTCCTGAAACACTTTGTCACTGGAAAGGGAACATTTATACTTTAATTCACTGGTCAGATTACATGTTACAGTATAGCCAGCAAATCGGTGTAAGAGCATGCTTTCCCAAAATCTTGGAAATAAACTTGCAACCATATCAAAATATGGTGATGCATTATATCCTTATATTATGTTAGACCTCTAGTACATGTGCAAACCCCCTTGTGATTATTTGAATATTATTTGCCCTGCATTAAATATAAATGGCAACATCCACTACACTTTTATTTTGTCAAGCATTCTAGAGACTGGTCTTTGCCAAATTCAGTAAATTTTTACCTCCACATAATAATTCATCAATGCAAACAGATTAGTAGATGGCTATCCTTTAGTCATAAAGTTCTGCTTGTGATTTTCTAAACCGGGTGTAGGACGTGCCTCTCTCAATTGGAAATTGATTTGTTGCATTCTCTTGACGTATGGTCTGATAAATGCTAGAACTGATTTTCAGATCTTGAATCTGCTGAATATTTTACTTAAATTTGGTCTCCATTCACTTCAGCTTTCTCCACTCCCTATCCCAAATCTAGTAGCTAAGATCACTAAGGCTAACAGTAAGTGTAGATGCCTACAGTCAAAGGTGGTGTATCTGGTTAGTCCATTGGCCATGGAGTGCAGTCAGAGGGAGTTGGGTTTACTTACCTGATTTTGTACATTGCCTCTGCAATCTCCCTACACACCTTCGGCTCCTTCAATTTCATCTCACCGGAGCTGTAAAAGTCATGTAATATTGCACATTCACGAGTGCGCAACATTTGAGGTCTGATGACCGCTGGAGTCTGCATAGGTCGCATTTCGTGATGAATGAGAGCATGCCTGAAATCCACAGCAGTCATTGTTGATGGCTGCTGGGATTGGACAAAAGTTAACAATAGAGCACTGTCTTTTTTGTTCAACATTATGCTTGCTTATAAGACCAAGTAGTCACTATATTGTCTTATAATTTATATGAAATATTCAGTCTGACAGCATTGGAATTTCATTTAAATTTCAATGCAATCCAAATAAATCATCTCTATGAAATACGCAGAAGTGACAGAGCTGCATTAAATAGGTTTTCACATATTTCATATTGTAACTTATGTATAATGGCAGTCCTGGTTCGATCTGTTTCTAATGCGGTTTAGAGACTGACTTTTAAAATGTAGTGTTTTGCAAAGATAATTAAAAATACAGGGTTCTAATTTCAGCCCAGCTTCCAGAAGTTGCTGCATTCATATATATGGGATAGGTGCAGGCCTGCACACAACTTCTGATGCTTCATGATCCCCTTGTTCTGGAATCAGATGTTGAACTAATACTTTACTAATATTAATATCAAACCTTTTTTATATTTGCTAGGGTTTTAGCTCGTCACTTATTTTTGCCATACTAAAGGAACAATCAAAGAACCGTAACCAATACACTCCTGGTACCATAAACAATACAGTACAAATGTAGGCGTTATGGTGTTTGTGGAGTTCCTTTCTCCTTTTAATGAATGACTCTATTGTAATTCTATAAAGACACTTGGTAACCTAGTGCATATTTTGTTTTAAAAACAAAAAACCCAAAGTGGTGGTCTGCTCAATATGTTCCAACAACCAAAGGTGGGAGATAAACTAGTGGTACTTAAAGTTCTTCCCTGTACGTGCTGCTTCGTCCATATGTGCAGCACATAAGCTTATGGAGGATCCCACATTCTTGCGATATGCTAGATCCCAGATTTCTACAGCTGCTTCTAGTAAGTGTTCTGGGAATTGACTAAACTTGCATAGATTCTGACCTAAACTTCAAGCATGACGATAAGACAAAGTAATACTACTTTCTGAAGTGAAATTTCAATGCAGTTTATATGGTCATTTCAGAAAGATTATATCTTTATGAAATAGTTAAAGGACCACTCTAGGCACCCAGACCACTTCAGCTTAATGAAGTGGTCTGGGTGCCAGGTCCTTCTAGGGTTAACCCATTTTTTTATAAACAGAGCTGTTTCAGAGAAACTATGTTTATTAATGGTTAAGCCTTCCCCCTAATCCTCTAGTGGCTGTCTCATTGACAGCCACTAGAGGCGCTTGCGTGCTTCTCACTGTGATTTTCACAGTGAGAGCACGCAAGCGTCCATAGGAAAGCTATGCGTGCACATTCAGCCCAGGAGGAGGAACGGAGTAGGAGAGCTCCCCGCCCAGCGCTGGAAAAAGGTACGTTTTTACCCCTTTCCCCCTTCCAGAGCCGGGCAGGAGGGGGACCCTGAGGGTGGGGGCACCCTCAGGGCACTATAGTGCCTGGAAAACGAGTGTTTTCCTGGCACTATAGTGGTCCTTTAAGGGAAACTCTAGGCACCAAAACATTTAGCTTAATTACCGGTAAGTTTGTTTTGGTGTGTGTGTGTGTGTATATATCATGCCCCCACATTCTCATTGGTTAACTGATCTTTAGAAGTTTTGTTAATTTTGTTTATGAAGCCCAAGTCTATTTTCAATGTATGTGGCTTACACAGCTTTTCTTAACACATCCGGTACAAAGAGATCTAATGTTTAAACTTCATTTTGTTGCATATTCTGTTTTATTTAGAACTTCTGCTGCTCTGTTAACCTACTAGACCATCTAGGAGCCTCCTCTATGTGATTAAAGTTCAATTTACAGGAGATAACTTCTTAAGTATACATCTGATTAAAAATGAAACCCTTTTTAATGCAGGCTGTGTCAGGCATAGTCAGAGGAGGCGTGGCTAGGGCTACGTAAACATTAACTCTTAACTGGCAGAGAATTGAGCAGTGTGACTACACAAGCATGGTCTTATCACCCAAACTGCTTCATTCAGCTAATGTTGTCTTGGTGCCTATAGTAACCTTTAAATTATATTATGATGGTCACTTTAGAGAACTTGAAATATGCAGTACATGTCTGTTGTGGTTTTTTTGGGTTTTTTTTGCTCAAGAATCTGCAGATTATAGTAAACCTGGCACTGCCATAAGTTCTCACATGTTTTGGCTACTGGGTGTGGTTTGAATCCTAAGCGGGTTTGTAACTGCCTGGGGACTTTGCATATTGTGGGGGGCAGGCAAACGTGAGTTTTACTCATCTGATCCTGTCCCTTGTGGGTGCTGCCAAGCGTCTTTCATTGCTGTACTCTCATGCATGCACGAGAATACAGCATTGAGGTCTGTAGAGTATAACATGGGATCCTCCATAGATAGAGCTAACATCCCTGCAACTGTCACTTTTGCTTGACCGCTGTAGCTCTGCCCAATTTAAGGCATAGGAAAAATGGAAATAAACTTCTCCCACCACCCATCCTCCTTTCTTTTCTTTTTTTCCTGGGTTGGAATTTCAGTGAATTTTCTCTTTGTGAAAGAATCATTTTGCAGAGGAAGGTGACAATGCCACTTTAAGTACACGCATTCAACCATTGGGCATCCTTATTGTGTAACTGCATAACAAGCACATAGTATACTTTACATTGTTATAACGTGACACCATCAAAAATGGAATACCGTTTATGTTAAAGGGTTACTCCTTTTGGCATTTGAGGAGTTAGCGTGTTTTTCCAATTTAAAATGCCCTTTTGGGCACTACTAATTAAAGTAAAAGGATTCATACTTACCCAGAATCTAGCACTGGGCTAATTTCCAAACACTGCGTTGCGCGATCTGACATGCCGTCGTATTGAGCGGACTGGCCGGCAGGGCTGAAAATATTGGACAATGGGGACATCCATGCTTCTCAAGGGTAAGCTCAGTACGTCCATTGACATTAAGCCATGTGTGCAGACTTCTGTTTGTGCAGCAGAACCACTGTACATACAAATTCCCACCACCACTTCAAATCATGAAAGTGGTAATGGTGGTGGGAATAACCCTTTAAGTAAATTGCTCCTCTAAGGAGAGCTCAAAGAGACATCTGACTATACAATGTATTGTGGAGTTATCTGTGAGATTAATGTCTTGCAGCAGTTTTTTATGGGGCTGTTGACAATGCCAGCAACTGTTATAGAAAGTAGGGAAAGATCGATTTATAGGTTCGGCCGATATTCCGGATATTGGCAAATATCGGTATCCGCCATTATAGATACTGATATTGGCTATAATGGGAAGCGGCGGTGCTTTAGGGTGCACAGATTATGGGGGCAATACAATAGTGAATTGCAGGAAGGAAGCGCACAGCACACCCCCCCTACAGGTCACTCAGTGTAGCGTGATCGAGCGGACTGCAGTACAAGAGCTTCAGTTTCTTGTACCCTGCTGGACTGACTGGAAGTGCTCACTTTTACTAGACAGCCACTAGAGTGCACTTCCGTGTCCCTAGCACAGGAAACCTGTGCTAGAGCGTCGCTGGACGTCCTCATGCTGTGTGAGGACCTCCAGGATCTCTCAATTCCCCATAGGAAAGCATTTTTTCAATGCTTTCCTATGGGAATTCTAATGCGCATGCGTAGCATTGCCACGCATGCGCATTAGGTCTCCCTGGCCCGTGGGCGGGATCAGTCTCGCCCACTGGCAGACGCAATCACTGGAAGGAGCAGCGGAGGAAGAAGCAGCGCCGTGGTAAGTCACTGAAGGGGTGGGAGGGAGAGGGGATCTGCAGTGCCAGGAAAACTGCACTGGAGTTTCCTTTTAACAGTGATTTGTGAGTATGTGTGTATATATGTATTGGTAAGTTATCGGCTATCTGCCTGAAAGCTTGCATATTATCAGTATCTGCTCTCAATAATAGGTTGATCCTCAATAGAAAGCATGAATGGTCTATTTACATTAGAAAAAGCTGACAACCCCGTGTAGACATTTTATTTTCTACTTGTAATTCAGAGGATGACTGGCTTAAAAATGAGTTGCCATCTTGGGGTACTTTGGTTTAACTCCTCAATGCATCTCCCTTCCTAGTTAGAAAATGTTCTCCACTTAAAAGAACAAAGATCATGTTTAAAATGTGTGTAACTTTTTTTTTTTTTTTTTTTTTATTTTAAACTTTCTTTTTCTTTGTTTAGCCAACTTTCTTGGTGGAACTTTCCAAGGTCCTAGCAAATCCTGCAAACAGTCAGGTAGCCAGAGTTGCATCTGGCCTGCAGATTAAGAACTCTCTGACCTCAAAAGATCCAGATGTGAAGGCACAGTATCAGCAACGCTGGCTAGCAATTGATGCAAATGCCCGTCGAGAAATCAAAACATTTGTAAGTTGTTGGTGGCACATATTAGAAGAATAAAATGGATCAGCTTTCCTGTGTGACAATGTTGTGCCATGTTTCCTCAGGTTTTGCGGACATTGGGCACAGAGAGCTACAGGCCCAGCTCAGCATCACAATGTGTTGCAGGTATTGCATGTGCAGAAATACCTGTAAACCAATGGCCGCAACTAATCCCACAACTGGTTGCCAATGTGACCGACCCGAACAGTACGGAACATATGAAAGAGTCAACACTGGAAGCTATCGGATACATCTGCCAGGATATTGTAAGTGTAAATACTTCAAAAAGCTGCACTTATGATTGATACATTTATGCAGTGTATAACATACATTTGTACAATTATATTCACAATTAAAGGAACACTACAATGACCGGGACGCAGATCTATATTCCTGACCCTATAGTTTTAAAACCACCATTTTGGTGGCTTGCTCTCCCTTAGCCCCTTTAAAAGGTAATAACTTACCTTATTTCCATCGTCGCGTGGGTCTGCCGGCGGTTTCCCAGTCCCGCTTCCTTGCTGACATCAACATTTTTTTATTTCAGCCAACCCAATAGTGAAGGTATTGGGTTGGCTGAAATTGTCAAGAAGGTACTGAATCAGTGCATCTCTATGAGAAAAGTACTCATAAAGGTAATGAGTTAAATTGACAAAAATGAATCCATTGTGATATGGCAGTAAAGAGTTAAACATATCTGTCTGATGATGACAAGTTCATGCACCACACAGAAATATTACTGTGTTGATTATGAAACTCTGAAGACTTGAATATTCTACTGCCAGGGAATGAAATACGTTTACAGGTTTATGCTGCAATCAAGCTTCGCCTAAAGTAAAAATATAGAATGAGGTATAAATTATTTTTTAAAAAGTCTGTAGGTAATGGTATGCAAAAGAAAATTAACTGGCTTGTTTTAACACTTACACTTTTATTGCTAGTCATTTGAAAAACATGTTTTCCTCTTTATCTCTTCAGCATAGAAGATGAACAATATAGTATATTATAATTTAATAAATCTGTAATGAAATATATTTAGTCACACAAATTAAAAAACAGTTTATATGCAGATGTTTGTGTTCTGGATGTATCAGTTGCAGCTAAAGTTGCTAGGTCAACAATATTTCCATTCACACAAACAACCTCTACATTTTAACCTAAAGTACATGAAAAGTGAGGAGCAGCACTTTGTAAAAATTCATAAGCTGCCAAAGTTGAATGGTTTATTACAAGGGAACACCTGTGGTTAATTGACTACATGTTGCTGGTGTGGCACTTAAACATGCAGCTAATCTGACAACTCTGGTCTGATCTTGGTGGTATTGCCCTTCAGTCAGCTCTATGCTGTTTTTTTTTTTTTTTTCAGCTTTGGATAGTGTTCATAATGTGTGTGTGTATATAATTATCTGATTAACATGCTATATATAAGTTTAGATGTACCCACTGAATGCAATATGCGCAGACATGGGGGTTATTCACTAGAGTGAATTTGAAATTTACTTCGTGTTACTTTAAAACTTACTCTAGTGAATTTTAATTTATTTTTTTGGCACCCAAGTATATCTGTTTCTGCTTTCATGTGTTCCTTATAGACCCATTAGTAGTAAAGTGGTGCTCTAATCTACATCTCCCTTCTTTGTGTTTGTGCAGTTTGGTTGCTTTGGTCAACCATTGTTTTGTCAGACACAACTCCTTCAGCTAAATTGATACTGAATTTACACTTCTGTATTATAACTACCATATAGGCTGCATCTCTGCTAAGGTGCAGAAGAAGTTAAAGTATGTTTTAGATATAAAATTGTTTTACACGGTTGTGTTGGTATGTGTTTTGTGGTATTTTTTTTAAATTTTTTTTTATCAGATGGTGTTTTTGCTCGTAATCTCAACCGAGTTGTCCAGCTCATCTTGAACCATCTAATATCTGTGGATTTACATTCTCAAACTGTTTTGTTCTGCTTTTCTCATAGGACCCTGAGCAACTTCAGCACAAATCCAATGAAATCCTGACTGCAATTATCCAAGGAATGAGGAAAGAGGAGCCCAGCAACAATGTTAGACTGGCAGCTACCAATGCCCTGCTAAACTCTTTGGAGTTTACCAAAGCCAACTTTGACAAGGAGGTAAGTAAAACACTGGGCAGGACTGATAAGTATATTGGTCATGCATGTAATTGATCCTGTGAGGTGATAAACAAGGCCTATGGGTTCCCAGGTGTATTTCTTAAATGCCTCATTCTGACCTATTTCTTAAATGCCTCTTTTAGAGTGTTGTCGTTTGAGGTCCATTAATCTCCTTGTAAACTCTAGATTGCATGTTAATATATTACGTTTCACTCTTCTGCCATTTAACTTGTCTGCTAATCAGTTATGACCCACTCCTGCTAGTTTAGTGTGCAGTATGTTTTATAGAATATACATGTTTATATAGAATTTTCTGCAGATGTGTTTGTACCCACCTCTCGTGTTTACAAATGAATTATTGTTTTTTGTCTATAGTGTGCTAAAATTCTTTGAATATGTTTCTTCTCAGCACAGCAACCTGGTGGTTGTCATGCAGTTAAGCAGGTCACTTACTCATGTTACATTACAATGATAGCAGCTGGATAACTATGCTTAGAGGAATCAAAGCTCTTTGTAGGAGCCTCCACCTCCCAAAGCCACATTTTGGTGGCCTCTGCTAAATTAAAAAAAATTCCTCACCAAGACTGTTTATACTTGTATGGCAAGTGGCATATTTGGACATAGATAAGGTATCGGTGCTTTTGTGTACTTACTGTAGTAGTTGTCAGTTACCTAAAATTACATAACCAGGATTTTCCCTTTTTGAGCACAGATGGACTAGTAACAAGGCCCAAGCAACTGTACAGTAGAAAAAGATAATTACTGAGCTTTCTAAACGGAAGCAGGTTATCCTTAAGATACTGCTGTTCATTGAGGATTGGTGTAGGACACCCATTAGAGATCTTAATATGAAAAACATTAAAGGTTTTCTAATGCATTAGAAACTTTGCATTTCCAACATTATACTGTTCTAAGCTTACATGGAGCCCGGAAATGATATACAAGAAACATTTACTTTTTAGCCTGCGTCTTACTGCTCTCAACATGCACAGCGTTCCATTCCAATGCTGAGATAATCAATGATGATCTCAGCCAATCCAGTGTTTCCCTATGGAGGAAACTACTATGCAGAGAAATCATTGTTCACAATTGAGAGACTGAAAGTACATTCTTTTGACACCAGAACATGTTGAACTGTAGTGGTTCTGGTGCTCAGTGTTTTTTAGTTATAGGGATTAATGTTCTACTCATGTTGGCTGTTTGCACAGGTTATATAGTGTTTATAAATGTATGTGAGCTGACTTATAGTGCCAGGAATGCAAAGCTGTGTTCTTGGCATTATCGCTCCCCTCCCCCACAACGTTAAATAAAGGGTGAAAATTCTTAACTTACCTTAACCCGGCACCGATGTCCCATAATGAGAGGGCACTAATGTGCATGCCCGGGAAATGCGCATTAGACCTGCCTGTTGGAAAGCATTGAATGGGGAAAATCTGATGCTGGGTGTCCTCATGCAAAGTGAGGACGTCCAGTGTCACATAACGGACCAAATGTCCGTTTCGATCTTAGAAACTCCCCCAGTGGTCTTGGAGACAGCGACTGAAGACAGACTTAGTGCTGCAATACAAACTTTGCAGTTTATCTGGATCTAAATTGTTTTACATTGCAGCACCAAGTGCAAAAGACCCTGCAATGAGCTGAAGTGGTCTGGTTGCCTATAATTACTCTTTAACGTAGAGGATGCCTAGGATGTATTAACTGGTCTGGCGCGTAATTCATTACTTTGGTTACAAGCTCTCTAAGGTGGTTGATATAATGCTAAAATGTGTGTGTGGCTATGGGAATGTTTGAAATTGCTGATCTGGCAGCATGTAGATGAGATTCATGAACCAGTCATTGTTTTCAGGACATCACTGTTCCAATGGATTTAATGTGCTGCACAGACACCCTCTGCTTCTCTATGCCCCTTCATCAGCGGCTGATGTCAACACCTTGCTCAGCACTTTTGTTCTGATGAATGGTGCCTAAGTGAAGCAGATGCTCATTCGCAAAAGGAAAGATTTGGAGGAATATGTAGAAACTATTTCCAGTTTAGTATTACCTGAATTCAATTAACTTGTGATACTGAAATCCTGTTTTTTGCCGTGTGAAAACAGATTCTTCTTGCCACTACTGATCTTACTAGCATTTGCATGTTATGCTGACCAATATTAAATCTTGTGAAAATGTACATATGGTGAATTTCGTTGTCACTTGTATCAAATCTTTACGCATCCATCCGTCACTTAAATATTTGAAATGATTTAATAAATCATCACACAATTACAACCTTGTCTCCAAATAGTACTTCTGCCTGTGTTCTGATCCCCAGCTTTGATGTGGTGCTAGTAGAAATTGAAATTCATGTAATACAGAGTAATTAGTTTTATGGTTAAGTAGTTGTATCTTCTGTGGATTCTAAAGTTGGTAATGGAGACCAAAAAATAATGTGGTTAAATAAATTGATGGTCTCCAACAACATAAGTAATCAGTCCAGTAATGCATAGAGTTGAATGTATGTTGCTGTAATATTTATTTGCGCTTTCTTTCAGACTGAAAGACACTATATTATGCAGGTGGTCTGTGAAGCCACACAATGTCCGGATACTAGGGTCAGTATTAATATTGGTAACCCAAATAGAATTTTTTTTTATTATATTTTTTTTTTCCCATTCTCATACAATGATCATTATGCTTTATTGTAGGTACGAGTGGCTGCATTGCAGAATCTTGTAAAGATCATGTCTCTGTACTATCAGTACATGGAGACTTATATGGGGCCTGCGCTGTTTGCTGTAAGTATATATTTGCTATTCAGCATAGTTGCATAGGCATCTACTATAAAACAAAATTCAACCTTGAAACTCATTTATGCTGTTGATCCAAAAGAAGGCGCAAACCCAATTATAGCAATTTCCAATTATGCCACAGAAAGGGGAAAAAATTCCATCTTGATTCCATAATTGCAATCCCATTTCTCCTTGGATCAACAACCCTTTTTTTTTTTTTTTTTTAAATTGCTCTGATGTTTGTTCCATGGTTGTTTTGCAGATCACTGTAGAGGCGATGAAGAATGAAATAGATGAAGTTGCACTTCAGGGTATTGAGTTTTGGTCCAACGTTTGTGATGAGGAGATGGACCTTGCAATTGAAGCATCAGAAGTAAGTTTTTGTTGCTTACCTGGAGGTAAAGATGCATAGCGTAGTACAAAAATTAAAGACTGCATTGATACATTTATGCAGTGTATAACATACATTTGTACAATTATATTCACAATTAAAGGAACACTACAGTGACCGGGACGCAGATCTATATTCCTGACCCTATAGTTTTAAAACCACCATTTTGGTGGCTTGCTCTCCCTTAGCCCCTTTAAAAGGTAATAACTTACCTTATTTCCATCGTCGCGTGGGTCTGCCGGCGGTTTCCCAGTCCCGCTTCCTTGCTGACATCAAATTTTTTTTATTTCAGCCAACCCAATAGTTTTTCTCATAGTGAAGGTATTGGGTTGGCTGAAATTGTCAAGAAGGTACTGAATCAGTGCATCTCTATGAGAAAAGTACTCTAAACTGCAGTGCACAGACCCTGTGAAACACCTCCAGTGGCCATCTGAGAAGTGTCCATATAGGGCAATGTAAACACTGCCATTTCTCTGAAAAGGCAGTGTTTACATGAAAATGCCTTAAGGGGATGATTATACTAAGCAGAACGACCTTTAACATTTTGTGTACAGTTCTCTAAGAAACATTGTATTGGAGGATAGAACTGTAGTTCTGCATAGCTTTTCTGGATCTCTGAAGAAAGTCTGATACTTCACAATTAGTATATCCCTTACCACAATCCTTATTGGTCTCCTTTTCCTCTCATTTGCTTTCTGGTTTCTGGCCAATAAACCATAAAATATGAACTGAGCCATATCTTGCTTTCTTTACTTGTGTTAAGGTTTGAAATTCCCAAGTAGTCTACTGGAGTGATTGTATTATGACCCATTACTAGCTGTCCTATATAGTTTTTCTGGGACTTAGAAGAGGACACGTGGTTTGACTTCCTTCACATACTCCAATTTGCTATTCTGCAATGTATGTGAGGAAGAAATAACCTAAATGAATGGCCATAATGATGTATTCTGGTACTCTAGAGCTGATCAAACCTATGTGGTGAATGCCATACATAGCAGCACATCACTGCACTTACCATGACTGCTCTCTGTAAAATCACACACCCCAAAACCTAGTTTTTGGGATTTTTTTTTCTGAATAGTTTTGCAAACCTAAATTTAAAGGTAATGAGTTAAATTGACAAAAATGAATCCATTGTGATATGGCAGTAAAGAGTTAAACATATCTGTCTGATGATGACAAGTTCATGCACCACACAGAAATATTACTGTGTTGATTATGAAACTCTGAAGACTTGAATATTCTACTGCCAGGGAATGAAATACGTTTACAGGTTTATGCTGCAATCAAGCTTCGCCTAAAGTAAAAATATAGAATGAGGTATAAATTATTTTTTAAAAAGTCTGTAGGTAATGGTATGCAAAAGAAAATTAACTGGCTTGTTTTAACATTGGCTAATTCAAATTTTTAATATAATGTATATCCAATATATTAAAGGAAAAAATGCAAAGTATATTCTATTTCAGATATGTTTTATAGATTTATTTGTAAATGTTTAAAAAGTCATGTAAAATTGTCATATTTCAGAGGAACAGAGGTTCTGACTTTGAGATTATTTTGTCCCTTCAGGCAGCTGAACAAGGAAGACCTCCAGAGCACACAAGCAAGTTCTACGCTAAAGGTGCCCTGCAGTACCTGGTCCCCATCCTGACACAAACCCTCACAAAGCAGGTTAGCAACATTATATTAACATTTGATGCATTAAATTACTGCTTTACAGTTCTGGGCCCTGTAGATAAGTGTATAGATAAGTGTGTAGATAAGGGCAAGTGACTGTGCATGAAATATTTTTACAATTTTTTTTCTTTGTTTTAAAGGACGAGAACGATGACGATGATGATTGGAACCCATGCAAAGCTGCTGGAGTGTGCCTCATGTTGCTTGCTACCTGCTGTGAGGATGACATTGTACCCCATGTCTTACCTTTTATTAAAGAACATATTAAGAATCCTGATTGGCGTTACAGAGATGCTGCAGTTATGGCTTTTGGTTGCATCCTTGAAGGGCCAGAAGCCAACCAGCTCAAACCTCTTGTCATACAGGTGAGTGGCCAGTCTGTGGTTTGTTTTTTTTTGGGGAGAGGAATGTGGCATTTACCCTATTGCCTTTGTCTAATGATGACAGGTTCATGCACCACGCATAATGTATTGTGCTGATTATGACTTTCTGAAGATCACTTTGAAAGGTTTGCCACAATCCTATCCTCTCACGGAAGCTTAATACTTTATTTGGCATAATTCTAAGTATTTTCCCCTTTGATATTTGTGGACTAGATTGCCTATTAACCAGACCTATTTTATTTTCCTCAGGCCATGCCAACATTGATTGAACTAATGAAGGATCCCAGCGTGGTGGTTAGGGACACAACTGCATGGACTGTGGGCCGGATATGTGAGCTCTTGCCAGAGGCAGCCATCAATGATATGTACCTGGCCCCTCTTCTGCAGTGCCTCATAGAGGGACTTGGGGCAGAACCCAGAGTGGCAACCAATGTCTGCTGGGTAAGGATATTGGAACCTTTTGGCTTTGAGGTGCATTAGTTCACAGGCAGTTAATTTAAATACATTGGAGTCTGTTTTTCTTTAGGTGTGCAGAAGTGTTTGCTTAAATGTGTGTATTTTCAGGCCTTTTCCAGTCTGGCTGAAGCTGCCTATGAAGCTGCTGATGTGACAGATGAACAACAGGAACCTGCATCTTACTGCCTGTCCAGCTCATTTGAAGTGATTGTGCAGAAATTGCTGGAGACCACAGACAGGTGAGTGCATGGACATTAGCATGTTTCGAATTTCCATTATCTCCCATAGTTAGTAGATTATTCCATGTAAGCAGCTTAAATGTGTATTCCTGATGCTATAGTGTCCTGGTCGTAGTTTAGGTGACACCCCACCCTGAAAGGTTAACTACGGTGTGACGGTCCAACCCTCTCTGACTGTCTTGGGTTCCCTTTCTCCCAGTAGTTAGCGAATAATCCTTCCAGGCAGAGTGCAGACACAAGCATAGCATAACCCCTCACACATGAGCCGAGGCTTAATGCTGGGTAGAGATCTGTTTAATGGCACACAAAGCAACAGTATTCATGCAGTATAACAACTCCTGCTCTGAGGAAAAAAGAAAAATGAGTTATAAGGGTCAGAGTTTGAAAATATGACAGTTATTAAGGGTTTAAACTGGTGTATTTTAAGGCGGGAGGGATGGGGAGAACGAAACAGTCGAACTAAGTCCATAAAATGGATTTTCTTCACATACGGTATTACTACTTATTCTATGTGCGCTGCTCTTACCATGGCTGGCCCCACCTCTTTTGGTGAGATCACATAGCTTGATGATCTCAATCCTATGCTTTCCCAAAGGAAATTATTGGGAGAGTAGTGTGCATGAACAGCAAGGTGCTTTGCCAGTTAGATGGACTCAGTCCATAGAATTTGAAATTTGGCGTGCTTTTTTTTTCGGAAGAAGTGCCTCTAGTATCCTCCTATGTGACCACCACTAAAAGCATGTAAACATTGCTGTTCCTGCACAATGGCAATGTTTACACCTGCAGGGTTGAAATAGGGGAACATGGAAACCCTGCAAAAGCTTTGATCTAAAGTCGAACACCTTGACTGCCTGGATAATTGCTTGTGCTGCTTTGTCGTTGTGGGATTGCTGGTTCTACTCCAGAGCACCAGGTGGCTGCTGGGATTGAATGTGGCTCCTAACACCATTTTTTTATCTAAAGTCTGGTGACCCAGACCTTGCTGTGAATATCTGAAGACTTTCTCTTCTTGCTACCAGGTAATTTTAGACCAGTTTAAATCAAATATTTTGGAGCAGGTGTGTAGGGCTCTTGGGAACCTGCATCTGCATCTAAGGGAGCACTTGTACACATCCTTGAACAAGACAATATCTAAAATAGTCTTTATTTTTGCATTATGCCCTGCAGTATTTTCCTTGGTCGAAATGTGTGTATATAGGGTGTAGCTCTAGCTGATGAAATAAAATGAGATGTGTAAATTAACAAACTTCCACCAAGATACAGAAATGCCAGCAGTCAGCACATTAACAGAGAGCAGACAATCTCCCATAGCCTTTAGTGCTGTAAACTAACAAAAGCGGCTTCCAGTGCAGCTTTGCCTCTTCATGCAGACCTTACTTCTTTTAGTCTCTACTGACGGGGGGGAAAATGGAGCACATCATTTTGTATTTGTTTCCTATTGCAACTGAAATGCTGGTTGTAATTATCACTTCCTACCTCTTAATGTTTACTAAACTGTGCTTTAATTGCCTGTTTCTCATGCCACAATTAGTTTTCTATGAAAGTACTGTTTAGAAAACATACACGGGAATACAATACATGTCTGTGTGACAGCAGCTCGGCTCTCTGACCAGTGTTATCAGTGGCTGAGCTGTGTACAAATGTGAGTTAGGAAGAATGTATGTAAGAAGAGGGCAATATAACCCCCCAAGAAACGATTCAATAGCAAAACCTGTCAAATCTATTTGTTCTAGCTAACGGAATGTTCCTTTTTTTTTTTTTTTAAATTAAAGGTTACTCTGACCACCATGACCTCTTCTGGTTTTAGAAGTTGTCATGGTGGAAGGAATCTGCAGCATTTCTTCTTGAAATGCTGTACAGAGATATATATTCACTTTTGTGCCAGGGGTTAGCTTCACCGCTGGCCGCACATGACAAAGGCAGACAGGTTACCTAATGTTAAATCTGTGCATATAGTCTGTCGGCACATGGGCAATAGGCATTTTCTCTCTGCTGTTCCCACCTCCTTATTTTTCTAATACCTTTTTTGTTTCTTCCTCCTCCACTTTTTATACTTCCTTCCCAGCTCAGAGCATATGCGCTCTGAGCCATTGAGAAGGGTCCAATCAAATTCTTTTCTTTGAAAAGTTTGACTGGACTTTGTGAGGGTAGCAGTCATGTCTGGCAAGGAGTTGAAACCAGTGCAGGGAGCTTCCATCGGCACCGGATTCCAGGTAAGGTATTACTTAATTTAGCAGCTTTTTAAGTGGGTGTATTGTAAATGAAGCGGTTATTTTAAAAGGGTTATAATAATCCTTTAAGTGTACACCTCTTTGTCAGGTTTCTTTACACATATATGAAAAAATTAATAATTTTTCCTCTGTAGACCCGATGGGCACCAGAACAACTTACGAAGTGCTGCATATGAAGCATTAATGGAAATAGTTAAGAACAGCGCCAAGGACTGCTACCCTGCTGTGCAGAAAACCACATTGGTGATCATGGAACGGCTGCAACAAGTACTTCAGATGGAGGTAGGCACTGCAGACCCCCTAAAGTACTCTTTGGGTGAAGCGTGTGTGTGTGTGTGTGTGTGTGAAAAAAAAATTGCAAAGACTTTAAGCAGTGTTTGCAAGCTATTGGATATACATCAAATGAAGAAAAAAATGAATAATTGCATGCTAGTTTTCATTTGGGTTAAATCTACTAAATTGTGATTTTTATTTTTTTATTTATTTTGGGCAGTGGATTGTTCCTTTAGGAGCATTCACTGTGTGAGACAGACTTTTTTAAAGCCAGGAGTTTGTTCTTATACCACCTCTCCTTTCTTTTCAGTCCCACATACAAAGCACGTCAGACAGGATACAGTTTAACGATCTCCAGTCGCTTCTTTGTGCTACACTACAGGTAAGGGATTCTCCTAAATGATAAATCTAGATCTAAATGTCTCTTCTGAACACCACAATGTTGTCCTGATTTGCTCACGTTATTGATGTATGTCAATCTAATATGGCAGTGTTTTACAAAAAAAACATGCTGAGTACACTATTACTATTAAATATAAGGTGGTGATGTCAAAGGATGAAGCATTCATGCACCACACAGAATCAATGCTGTGTTGATTATGAATTTCTGAAGACTTCAGTGTTGCCAGTTTCTGATTACTTGTTTTGAGGAGGGGAGCAGCTATTCTAGCCTACATCTTGCTAGTCTGTCTTCTCCACTCATCAATAAATAAACTTACAAATCTACACTTCTGTTGTGATTAATGTTGTGGTATTTTTACAATACTTAAACCATGTAACTGTAGAACAAAAACATTTTGTTCATCTTAGAATGTGCTGCGGAAAGTGCAACCCCAGGATGCCCTGCAGATATCTGATGTAGTGATGGCCTCATTGCTTCGCATGTTTCAAAGTACTGCTGGCTCCGGAGGGGTACAGGAGGATGCCCTCATGGCTGTTAGCACTTTGGTTGAAGGTAAATTTCTCCACTTTTTTAATAAAAATTTGTGGAAATTTTTTTTTGTGAAATTGTCTTTAGTCTGTCTCTAAGTAGGAACATATTGCAAAGATCAGAGGGAATTTCTTGATGGGTGTGTGTGATTTCATGCAGTGCTGGGAGCAGAATTTCTTAAATACATGGAGGCATTTAAACCTTTCCTTGGCATTGGGCTGAAGAATTATGCAGAATATCAGGTATGTTGATGGCCTTTGAGTTGATTCACTACTATTAAAGCTTAGGCTTGCTTTTTTTTTTTGTCCTGAAATATGTCCCCTCTTCTGATTTAGTTGATGACCTTATAATAGGATTTTTGGCTTAACACCTTCATTAAGGAATAATAAAAAGTAAGAAGCTAAATCATACGAATGCATGGAGCAGTACAGATGCAGAAAATATCAATAAGCACAAGATGATGTGCCGTGCCTTGAGTCTATACAAAACACCATAGAAATGCTTTTAGTTATTGTATGTGCTGATTGTTGCACGCGCAGTGGTCCCTCTTTCTCGAAGGAGAAGCATTAGATTGGCTGTGATAATATTTTTCAGCCAGGGTTGGAATGGTAGCCACAGTGAAATTAGAATAGGCCTAATGGTAAGTAAATCTTCATTATTTTATTGGGGATTGCTAAATCTAGATAGAACACTAACGTTGGTAACAAACCTATATTTCCAACGTTGGTGTGCTTCAAGATTTATTTATTTATTTTTATTTTTTTTTCTCCTGAGCTGTGGCAGCTGAAGACTTAAGGTGGAGCTCAAGGCTCTGCTCCTGGAATTTGAAACCACCCCTTTAAAGGGATACTCCAGGCACCCAGACCACTTCTGCCCATTGGAGTGGTCTGGGTACCAACTCCCACTACCCTTAACCCTGCAAGTGTAATTATTGCCGTTTTCAAAAACTGCAATATTTACCTTGCAGGGTTAAGACCTCCTCCTAGTGGCCGTCTACTAGACAGTCACTAGAGGGACTTCTGTGTTTTTAGAACACAGTGTTTTAAGCCACGCTGGATGTCCTCACGCTATGAAAGGACATCCAGCATCGCCGAAATCCCCATAGGAAAGCATTGAATAATGCTTTCCTATGGGGAGGTCTAATGCCCGTGCGCGGCCATTGCCACGCATGCGCATTAGGCCTCCCCCGCTGCTGGCTTGGGAGGAGAGTAGGTGGAGTCTGGCCAGCGCCGAGGGACATCGGCGCTGGACTCCCTTAAGTTTCTGAAGGGGTTTTGACCCATTCAGCAAATTGGGATGGGGGGTGGGAGGGAGAGGGAAAAAGTTTTCCTGGCACTGGAGAATGCCTTTATGTGACCACCATCTTCTGACTTGGTGGACTCTGACACCATGTACACCAAACCATAATGGTTGTCCTTGTACAGTATACAAATGTCTATAGTATAGAGATACATACATATATGTATTGCAGAATTACCACGGCAGTTGGCATCATGATTTACATCTTTCATTTCAGCACCAACATGACACGACTCAGAGCAGAACTACTGAAGACTGGGTAAGAAAAGGTAGAGCTAGAGACCTGGCTCTTTATACAGAGACCGTGTGCATTGTATAGGTAACTAATGTCCTTTTACTCTGAACCCATTAAACACACGGGTTCAGTATAAAGAGCCAGGTCTCTAGCTCTACTTTTTCTTATCCAGTCTTCAGTAGTGCTGCTCTGAGTCGTGTCATGTTGGCGCTGAAATGAAAGATGTAAATCATGATGCCAACTGCCGTGGTAATTCTGCAATCAGTGTTTTGTGGTGTACTGTAAGTTGACTGTGCACAGACATCATTTATGTAACTTATCTGATTAGTTTCATTGGAGTTAGATTCTAGAATTCTGAAGCTAATCAGAACTGCAAAGTTATTGAAACGAGATCTGTGCAGTTTGGCTTTTTGCTTAACAAAGTGATGTGATGAGCCAAGAACATACCGCTCTTCATGCATTCATTGACAGTTGGCTCAGATACCCAAACTGCAAATACATAGGTCACTTAAAATCTTGTTTGTCTTGACAAAAACAAGGACAATTAACAAATATACTGTTATGTTTAGTTACACTCTAAAACTTAACCGGGAAGCAACACCTGAAGTTCCCCTCAATTATCTTCTTTTTTTTTTTTTTATATTCTCTAATAAAGGTGTTAATATTTAATTCACAATTTGAGTTTAAAGCCCTCTCTAGCTATCACTTCAAACAGCCAACCCTGAAACTGCCTTGTGATTGTGTTGTGTATATGTACAGAACTTGTCCAAGGCACACGAGACTTAGAGTAGTATTACCATTATTGAATTGCAGCCCAAACCTATAAATTATTCCTTCCTTACAGGTGTGCTTGGCTACTGTAGGCCTTGTTGGAGACTTGTGTCGTGCTCTGCAAACAAACATTCTGCCGTTTTGTGATGAAATCATGCAGCTTCTCCTGGAGAATCTAGGGGTAAGAACAATGGAGAAATGTAATAGAGCATTACTGCTTCAAAAGAGGAACAATCACCTCCCTTTTTAGGAGCTAGTGACTCATATTTGCAGTGTCTTATGATGACCAGTTCATGCACCACACAGAATGTTATGTGTTGATTATGAACTTCTGAAGACTGTTTTGAAGAATACTTTTATTGAAGGAAAACATCATAGTTCCTTTTATTCTTACTTTATGGACCAAGTAGGGCTCTTTTTTGCAAGTCACTTGCTTTAGAACCACCTCCTGTGGCATCCACGTGAACGTCACTGGGAATCCCAGTTCCCTCACTGACTTAATTTAGTGAATACCAGATGTTCAGTAGTGAACTGGCATTTCCTTGTAGAAGTACTGTAAAAGAGAAATATTGCTGTACTGTATTGGCCTATATTTTATGGATAAATGCTACCCTTTTTAGAACTTCTTCCCCACTCCTGCATTTGATGTGACTGTTCAATTATCACAGGGCTAGACAAATCCAAGCTTGCCATGGCAACTAGGAATTTTGTCCTGGCGTCTGCAATTTGTCCGCCTGTTCAGCAGAAGCGGCTCTGCTCCCTCGTGTGCCCTACAGTGGTATCCCTGCCCTGCATCACTAAACAGTGCGCAAGGGAGAAGCGCTTGAAGAGTACAGGATCAAGCAGCAGCTCAGGACCCCTGGGATAAAATCCATGCCAGCTCTACAAAAGGCTGGGTGGACTTAAGAAAAGAGAATATTTGTGTGTGACTGCCTCTCTGATCTTATGGAAAAGGTGTTTTTACTCACGATGTGACTTTATAACCATGGCTGAGATAATCAATCTTAATCCAATAGGAAAAAATTGTTAGGCTATTTCAGATGCCAGTCTGCATCTCCTCATAGATGTATTGAATCTGAATCTCTATGGGGAATATTCAGTGCCTCCATGCAGAGTGTGGAAATGCTGAATGTAGATGCTGCACATTGTGCAGCACTGGACTAGAAACCACCTCAAGTGTGTGTAACTAGAGGTGTTATTGTGCTGCAATATAAACACTGCCTTTTCTCTGACAAAATATAGACACAACCACTACATTGGGCTGTAGTGGTTCTGGTGACTATAGTGTCCCTTTAAGAATTGTATGTTTGTAGTTGAAAATTCAAAATATTTTATAAATATCCTTGCTCCAAGCAAACTTGTCAAGCCCTGACTTAACATGCTCTCTCCATTCTTATGTTTCCTTTCTAGAATGAGAATGTTCACCGTTCTGTGAAGCCACAGATTCTTTCTGTGTTTGGTGATATTGCTTTAGCCATTGGAGGTGAATTTAAAAAATATCTAGAGGTTGTTCTAAACACATTGCAGCAAGCATCCCAGGCTCAAGTAGACAAGGTAAGGAGTCATTTCTCTTTTTTTTTTTTTTTCTTTTTTTATTGTATGTGTATAGCTCTACATACAAGAGGGCTGCACATTGCATTTGAAAGGTGCTGCTGGGACCATTTAATACACCACTTCAACAAACCTTTATATAATATTCAAATATATATATTGTATAAGGGCTTTTAAGCTTACAAAAGTTGAAGTGTTGTATGTATTGGCCCCTGCTGCACCCTTAGAATGGATGAAAGTTGAAAGACTTCTTGTATGAAATTTGGCAATCAAGGACCAACTCTCTTCGATTTGTACCTGTCACATGCACTTCAATCAGGTCTCTATTTAACTTTGCACTGCAGAAAACCCCAGGTGGAGGATTTCCCAGAGTAAGTGGGTTAATCTTATAAGAGCAGGCATTGGGTTGTTATGATAGGATATGCCAAAAATGAGGTTGTGGTATTGTCAGGCTTCTGCAATGTATGATCGTATACTGTGACTCCCAATTTTTAACTAAGTCACATGTAAAAAGCAAAAAAAAAACTAGTGTTTTGTGAGCGCTGAAGTTTGTGTATAGCAAGTGAGTGCTCTACTTCTGGTGCGTATGATATAAATCAAAGGGAGGCCACCTTTAAAGGACCACTATAGGCAGCCTGGGTAGTCTGGGTGCCAGGTCCATCTAAGGTTAACTCTGCCTGCTGTAAACATAGCAGTTTCAGAGAAACTATGTTTACATATAGGTTAATCCAGCCTCTAGTGGCTGTCTCATTGACAGGCGCTTCTCACTGTGATTTTTCACAATGATAAAACGCCAGCGTCCATAGGAAAGCATTGCAAAATGCTTTCCTATGGACTGACTGCACGCAGCTCTTGCCGTGCATTCAGCTGATTATGTCGGAAGGAGAGCCCCCAGCGCCGAGTGAGCCCAGCGCTGGTGAAAGGTAAGAGTTTAACCCCATCCTACTCCTAGAGCCCAGCGGGAGTGGGACTCTGAGGGTGGGGGTCGGGGGGGGTGACCTATTAACACTATAGTGCCCTTTAACAATCCAGGCGTTGTGGACTACATCTTTTATAATGCTCTATCGCCATAATACTGGCAAAGCATCAAGGGAGATGTTTCTTTACCCCTGAACTATTTGTTCACATAGGCTTGCAGGGGCAAGTAACTTATTAAAGCCTGATTAGTGGTGTACATAGTAATCTAGGTTGGAAAAAAGAGTTTACACTTTAAACTCTATTCTAATTTATTTTATTTTAATATTTTTTTTAAAAACAATTTCCAACTGCAAATTATGAAGTGATGGTGTCTTGTTTTTATGGTGGTAAAAAGCCTTTTTGAAGGTGTATTCTCAAACCATCGTGGCTAGCCCTTTAAACTTCTGAGTGACTCCTCTCTCCCACCTAATTTAGAAAGGACAAGATACAATGAGAAAGGGCATTGCCTGAAACATTTTGTATAGATGCTTGTTCTTCAATTAAAGCTGTAGCACTTGTTGCACACACTTATGGTTGTCTCCCTTTTTTCAAAATGTTGTTTGCATAGATCACCATAGGAGCCACAGTGAGGTGGGATAGCAACAACTGTACCTTATTGTTTTACTGGTTATATGGAGTACTGTGGTAACTCAGGCTTTTTTTTTTTTAAATGTAATTACTTTAGACTGACTATGATATGGTAGACTACTTGAATGACCTACGAGAGGGCTGCCTAGAAGCATACACTGGGATAATCCAGGGGCTCAAAGGAGACAAAGAAAATGTGCACCGTGAGTATGCAGGGTTTTTCTCAGAATTCTACAAAGATGAGCTGAACAGTAAATTGAAGTAGATGTTTTACTTTGAAAATGATTACATTTTAGAGTAGATACTATGGTCTGCTTATATCAATGTACAGAACTCTAATAAATCTTTGTATAATAGTAACATGCTAGCAATTTGATTAACAGTAGTAATCTACATCTAAGGCTTTCTACTGATTCTGTTGTAAGTCACTTGTATTCCCTTGGTATCTTTATATTTTTTATTTTTTTAATCTTCTTTCTCCCTTTGCTTTTGGCGGGTATTCTTATTCTTGGCGGGTAACATTGATATGAAAAACTAAATCTCTTTTAACCTAGTTATCTCTTGTCTTATTTGGAGGGATCCTAGTTTTCAAAAGTCAGATCTAATTCTAGTATGGCATTCTTGTCCTGAACTGCTTCCACAGTCAACTGCAAGAAGGGCAGACAGAAAATCTGTTTTCTACTCTGATGTCCTGTTCACTTTTTTCTACAGCTGATGTGATGTTGGTACAGCCACGTGTGGAATTCATCCTGTCGTTTATAGACCATATTGCTGGTGATGAAGATCACACGGATAGTGTTGTGGCCTGTGGTGCTGGGCTCATTGGGTGAGTCTGTGTGCTAGCTAGATCATTGTGTACCTCTGGTGATTTTTAGTTATAAGTGGACTGCAAGAGTGGATTTAACTGCGTGCCCCATTTCCCCTCACACACAAACACCTCTACCTATTTAAGAAAATTTTAATATATTATGGTCAAAGTGGATTGCAAGTTCATAGCTTAACAAATTTATCTTGTGATACAACCCATTTACAAACCATTTTGTATCTGTCACACATAAGATTTTGTGGCTATTACTGAAACTAGTCCTAGAAAAGAAGATAGGAGTTTGGCATTTTCTGACCTTGTCTCCATAAGTACACCTGGCTCAATACATCTAGCCCTGGGACATTTAACTCCACATTGGAAAGAATGTGTTTGTTGCTGTGATAGTAGCTGGATTACTATCTTTGTTCTAGGTATACATTTTTCACATGTCACTTGGTTTCAATTACAATTGGCACATTCTTTTTCTATGTATTCATGCAGAGATTTATGCACAGCATTTGGGAAGGATGTCCTTAAATTGGTAGAGACTCGACCAATGATTCATGAACTTTTAACAGAGGGGAGAAGATCCAAAATGAACATGACAAAAACACTTGCTACTTGGGCCACCAAGGAATTGAGGAAGCTAAAAAACCAAGCCTGGTAAGAATGTGAGGGGCGGCTTTAGTTGAATCTGGTACACATGACTTCGTATTTGGACATGGTTATTATCCCTCAGTGCCTGATTACAATTGTTTGTGCTTTTTTTTTCCCCCCTCTCTTTCTCAGACCTCACTAGGTGGGTGATATCCGATATCTCACTGGAAATCTCCAACCTTTTTGAAAACACACAATATATCCCGGAAGTGAGAAGTATGAGCGGGTACTGAATGTTTGGGAATGAGAGGATGAGTGAGTGAGGCTTCAAACATACCGCATGGATAATGCAACCACAGCAGTGCTGTGAGAAGAGCAGACTTCCTGGGAGAGAGGGAGAAGAACCCCACTATGGTCTGCCAACCCCCCCAAGAGGAGCAAGCGCAGTTGGCCTCCATTAAGTAGGCATCTGCTTTCACTGCCTTGTGGCCAGGGCAGAGCAAGAGTGACTGGTGTAACATATATTTTTTTTTTTTTATTCATTAGAACACAACATATGGCCCCAATTTTCTTTCTTTTCTTTTTTTTTTGTCCTCCACCCTGCTGAAGAACGCGGCCCAACCTGTCACTTGCTGCGCACCCTATCTCTGAGAGCAAGGGGACTGAGTGGAAGGATTCTCAGAATGAGTGTGTGTGAGTGAGGAGGTACAGCAATGTCTTCAGTCTGAACTTCATTTGCAGTTTATTCTGATTCTGAGGAGAAGGCATTCAGTGTTCTGATTGCTTCTGGATTCCCCTAGATGAACAATACAGCATTGATTCCAGAAGCACAACACAAGGATTCTATATTCCAAAAGTTCTGTTTCTCTAGTTGAATTTTATTTTTACGTTTTTACTACCAGGGGTGCCAGCAGTAATGCAGGGACTTGCAGACACGCCTGGCAGCAAAACAGTTGAGGGAAACACTGGCTTGGATGTTCTGTAGTCCTATAGTAAGCGAGCTGCTTGTGGCATTAACTTACTTTTTCTTGATCTGTGAAAGGGGTGGGAGCAGAGGAATTGTATAAAATCAGTTGTGGGAACAGGAAAATGTTAGTTCAGCATACCGTGCCCTATTTATCTGGGGAAAACAAAAAAATAGAATTTAAGTAAAATAATTTTTTTTTTTTTTTTTTTTAACGTGTAAGATTCATCTTTCAGAAACTAACAGCTTTGTCCCTCAAATGTGCCAAAGAAACAAATCCATTAAGACATCTGCAATGTGAATAACTGTATCACTGTGGTGGGATAATTGGTGGCACACTGCTATGCACAGTTGTGCTCAGCAGTCTGTTGCTGGCCCCCTTTTGCAGCAAAGTTTTGAAACCAACCAGATGAAATGATGAAGCAAAAAAGTGATGCTATGCCATAGAGAGCTACGCTACCTTTTATTTCACTGACAAATGTGATCTTCAATCTCCTGCACTTAAATACAGAAAACTGAAGAAAAAAAAATAGTTTAAAGGAAAATAAATAAAAAAAATCTATAAGTATATTCTAGATACGGACTGGACGTACGTTGGACCATGGCACTTGTACAAGGTTCTATTTTTTCACTGCAGTTAAAGATTAATAAAATGGTGTCAAACATCCCCTGCCCTTCTTTTTGTGTTCTTGGTGTGATCACATAAAGGGATTTTGGCGACTCCCTTCCCATCCACACCTTTCCTTGTCCTGCCTCAAGTGCATGGCTTGTGGCAATCTTACTAGGAATGATTGATTGTTTGGCTCTGTTTTTTTTTTGTTTTTGTTTTTTTTTCCTCTTCAACTTGCACACACCGCTTTACTATGCTAAAGGAAAAGACTCACCAACACATGTTTTTCTTCCTTTTGGTTTATGGTTTCCATCATTTTGGGAGATGAGGAAATAAACCTGTGTATTTGAAACCCTGAGACTTGCGCTCTTTCTCCCAACGGTCTGCATATTTGCTCCATGAGATACTCAATAGGTATTTAGAAATCCGTGTATACTGCTGCAGACTGTTAGTATGTCTAGGCAATCAGCCTGTATAACATAGCATTAGTTGATTAATCCGCCATATACAGGCAGCAGGATCACTTACCATTCTGTGCCTTGTGGCTTCTGTTCAGTGTAACATTCAAGGACTTTAACAGACTTACTAGATAATCATTACAGCAGTCACTAAAATATAGAGGTTACTGCATTCATGATTGACCTGACAACTCTCTTTAGAAAATAACTGAGCTGACCTGGGCTCAACTCTCTGGCACTGCTGGGGGTTTACACTTATGTCACATTGAGGGGATAACTGGGAAGTATACAGCTAAATATTTCTCTATGCTTCCTGTGTCTAGGCTTTTGCCATTTGTACACTGCAAGGAGAATAAACAGTGACATAGTGCTGTAAATGAAACCTGTGTGTGTGTGTGACTGTCTTTGGTTTCCCAGGTTGTATGCATTTCTTTGAGTTCCGTCACATTGTTTAAAAAAAAATAATAATAAAAAATGGTTTGCCTAATGCTAGTGGCATTTGTGGGGGAAAAGTGCCAAGAGATTGCATATACACCTCTAAATCATTTAAAAATGCGCAAGAGCTATATCTAGGTAGGTTTTCTTGTACTTGTGTGGTACATGAAAACTACTAAATATTTCACTTGGCTTCTTAAATAGTAGACAATACAAAGTATTTTTTCAAAGGATTCTCTGGCAACCTGCGGAACTCATTGCATAAAGTAGTAATCTGCATACCAAAACAATTTTAACTTAATGACTGTTCTTGTCTGTAGATGGTAGCCCTGCAGTCTTACTGCTAAATTATCTATTTAGGAGTTAAACTTTGGCTGTAACTCACACACAACCAAAATGAAATACGTTTTTGTTTTGTTTTTTTTGCAGAGTTTAGCAGCTAGACTGCAGGGGCATGGTCTATACACCAAAACTACTTCATTAAGCCATTTGATTTGGTGCCTACAGTGACCTCTTAAAGAAAAGTGTCATAACTTTTTGGCAGTTTAGAAGATCTACCCTCAATGAAAACATATGCATCCTTTTGGAGGGTATAAAAAAAAAATCCTAGTTTAGCATGCCTGCTGCTTCCTTAGTTCTTTGGAGCAAAATAAATCCTCCTTTGCTGGGGGATTTTTTTTTTTCCCCAGCAAAGTTTTTTATGAATGTGCTGATTTTTAATATGGAAACACGTATTTAAAAAAAAAAAAAAAATCACAAATCACATACTACAGACACTCAAAGCTGTTCAAGGGTTGCTCCATGCTAACTTTAGTGATTTGAAGGGTTCATAGTTATTTTAGTTATTGGCATTTATATAGCCACAAATTCTGTAGCGCTTAACAAGATTATAAAACGTGGAGATGAATGAGACAATTACAAAAAAATTATAGGAACAATAGGCTGAAGAGGACCCCCTCAAACCAGCTTAGTCTAGAGGAGGTGTCAATCAAACTAGGTAGGAATGAAGCAGAGCTGGGGGAGAGTAGAGTGCTGCTCTTTAGGTGAGGTAGAGGTTACGCTGGGGGACCATAAGCTTTCCTGAAGAGATTTTAAAGCGCTATTTTAAACGATTGGAAACTAGTGGAGAGTCTGGTGGTAGGCAAACTATTCCAAAAGAAGGGAGCCGCCCATCAGAAGTTCCTTGAGTTTGTATGTGCAACTTTCTGCTATGAAACTCTCCATATAGAGCAGGGGTGCCCAAAAGGTAGATCCCCAAATGTTTTAAAACAACATCCTTCATGATGCTTTCTCATTCTGAAGGCATGCAAAGCAGCGTGGGAGTTGTAGTTCTAGAAAATCTGGGGATCTACATCTTTGGCACCCCTGACGTGTAAAGTATAACTCCTTTCCTGTTGAAGTTGTAACTCTACCTTCTGCAGCCCAGAAAGTGTTCTGGGCTGGTTAATGTAAATTTTGTGCATTTATTCCTCTCGCTGTGTGCCATTTATTGAGAGATTATCGACCAATAAATGTTGATTGAATTGGATTCTGCAGCTCTACCCCACACTCCCTCCTTTTGAAAAGCAGCTTTATTAGATATATTTAGATTCTACTTCTGAGCTGCAGAAATCATTCTGCCACATACCTTTTGAAATACTACAGATAAGAGGTTGGTAATTGACTGTAGTTAAGAGTTGTCAGTTGTGCAGCTCATACTGATGTCTTATTGGGTGAATATGTACTGTATATATTGTAAGCAGCAGTTTACTTAAATGGCACGTGTTGTATTAGATCTAGGTCAACTGACTTTTTGGTGGCTTTGATTGAGGATGAGCAGAACTTTGATGTGACCAGCACCTAAATTAGTATCAATTCTCACAGTTCACTTGACAGTATGAGCCACTGGGAGCTGTGCTGATTGGAGCAGGCACTGTTTAAGACCTACGTTAATAGAAATTCAGTTGGAGAGAACTAATATAATGCAGCATAAGGACTTCTAGTTTGAAATCTTTTTTAAGCAAAATAAAATAAAATACAAATTCTGTTTACCTGGGAGAATCTGCCTGATACACTGGATACTTACTACTATGAGCACTCACGTGATTTGAAATGATACATGGAGTATGTATGTATAGAGTTTCAATATGAAACTTGCACATAGTTTAACCCTCTGCTGCTGGAGGTTATAACTGGCAAAGTCACTGTTGTGTTAAGAGTTCCAGGTGGCTAATTCTGTGCATGTTGGATGTATGATATCCGCATGCTGACAAACAGGCTTTCAATTGTGGCATGACTTCCGTATGCCTGTGTTTCTTTGACCAGTGTTCTATTTAAACATGTGTTTTTTTTTTTGTTTTTTGTTTTTTTATAAAGCTCTGGAGAAAATCCCTATATATTTGTTCATCCTGACATGTATGTAAAAACCTACATTCACACACGCTCTTATTCTTTTGAGCATATTCACTCCCTATGTGCATATACAAATCTTCATAGCTCAACCATGCAGTGAGTCAAATGCTGCTGTAAAAACAGATGGTGACAGTTTCTAAGGAGTTATACAACACAGATCAAAATGTAATTATTTCCCTTCAGTGCTATCCTCAAGTAAGGGAGACTTCATAATCTTGATGTTAAAGTTTAAAAATTGAGCCATATCCATTTTAAATTTCAAACTTATTTTGACAGCGTGCTTTGCTGGGTCTATTTTTCCTTTCATATATTATAGCAGCTGTTGAGTTAAGATGTTCTTTTTGGTTTTTTTTTCCATTCTATGAAAGTCTAAAAAAAACATTGGGGGCTGCATGAAAAAGTTTAAAGTAACCTTATGTAAAATACCCTGGCCTGTGTTTTTACTTTATTTAAAAAAACTAAAACAATTTTACACCTTTGTTTACAATGTTCTCTCACCTACATCTTAAAACCGATTTCATATGTGAATAGAACAAAGCCATTAAATTAAACTGAGCATGCACTGCAGAATCTTGTTGCCCCATCAACTAACTAGTTGGGTAGGTGAGGTCACTGCGGCAATTGGATGGAGATACAAGGTCATGTGCTGTTCTTTTTTGCAGTCTTTTTTTAGTAGACTCTTAGTCATAAACACTGGCCAAAGTTGGTATTAATATTTGTGTGTGAAAAATGCAAAACTAATTTGAACACCAATTTTGGTCAGTGTTTGTGACTAAGTGGCTACTAAACAAGACTGGACATACCCCATTTGCAATACCTTGGGTTGTCTACTTTTGCAAATGGTATGCCATCATGGGCTACCATATATGGTCTCAAAGGCAACATAACCAATCTGGCAACTTTCAATGTGAAAAAACTGAAATACAAGCCTTATATTTGACTCTGTAACTTTTGAAAACACTATAAAACCTGTACATGAGGGGTACTGTTATACGCAGGAGACATGGCTGAACACAGATGTGTTTCAAAACTGTAAAACGTATCAACAATTGTATCATCAGTGTAAAGTGCCGTTGAAAACTTCACTTTCATTGATTGTAATACAGTTTACTGTTTTGAAACACTAATATTTGTTTTACTCGGGAGACTTCGCTGAACACCGTAACCCCCATGTACATGGTGTATTGGAAAGTTACAGGGTTAATATAGTGCTAGCAAATAAAATTTTCTGGACTTTTTGCCTGGGTTAGCAGGCAGGTACGCGAATTATAATTAATAAAATGACTTGTGTAAAGATATTACATAAATATTGTGACAAACTTCCCTTTCCCTGTGAGTTTGTCACAAGTCCTTGGAGGGGCCTGCTTGCCAGGCTCCTGCCCACAGACTATGGACCCTGTAAACTGTGATATAAAAGTCTGTCTATTTGAATTATGTTTTGGTAACTGAGCAGCTGTACGAATCGGAGACCACCCTCGAGCTTGTTAAACTTAATTGATAGACCACTGCAGTGGAAATTGCAATAATGTAAGTGTTCGTCTGGGTGGCTGCCATTCCTATGGACGACCACACGGTGGCAGCCATCTTGTTTGCATGGACCAAAAGCGCCAATAGACTTCATGGGGACTTAGCCACGAATGCCCTGGAACTATTTTGGATATGAAAACTTTCCCGGTCGCTCCTCCAGCGGCAGTTAGCTGCAATTCTATGGAACAGTTTTGAGATTATGCCTGCTGTCGGTAAAAACTATGACTTCCATAACATTTCTGATCCCCTGAACTGATCTGGGTGATTGTTTTGATAGCTCTTATCTGGGTGACCAATATATCAGGGAATGTAACATTTTTGGGACTTTTTAGAAATATAATACATACAGAGTTATAGGTGGAGCTGTGGAGTACCTTGAACAATCTGGAAAATAGAATATATGCAAATAGCGTAGTATATCTATACAATATATAGCATATAAAAATGAGAATAAAAGCACTCACAAGGATGGAGTCATACCGTCATATGACTCTTAAAGTATGTTCTCTTGGACCATTAGGGGGTTGTCCAAACCCTTCTTTTGTTGATTGCTTGTTATTTCTCCTGATGGTCTTCAATAAAGATACTCAGTATGCCAGGGATCTTGGAAAATAATTCTTGTTTATTTGTAGATAAAATAAATAAAATGGCAATATACTAAACCAATATATATTGGGTGTAGATATAGTCCAATAAAAAGTCTATCAAAGTTGAAAATGAGTGTCCAAAACGCGTTTCGCCTGATTAACAGGCTTTCTCAGTTGGCTCTAGTGTTTCTTCCAAAGTTTTCTTTGTTTGAAAATGCCGCCGGCCGGCTGTGTCTTCTTTTATATTGCACTTCCTGATTCCGTCTGGTGGAACGCAACGTGCGCTCCACCTACGGCACCAACTTCCGGGACGCACCGCAAGTGGAACGCACGTGCGCCCCAACCCCGTGCGCACACCGGAACTTCAGCACCAACTTCCGGGTGGAGCGTCCGTGCGCTCCAACCCGGCGCCAACCTCCGCAATGCACCACAAGTGGAACGCACGTGCGTTCCAACTTCAAGCAGCAAATTCACTTCCGGGTCTCTCTCTACTTCCGGGTCACACTCAGGTGGAACGCACGTGCGCTCCACTCCCAGCCTCACATCAGGTGGCCAAATGCAAACATAAAAAATGGCGTTCTGCCTATATTAATAGAGTGTGACATATAGAATTATAAGTGCTATGTTTTAAATAGAAATAATATAAAAAGTCAGATAATATGGAAAAGAGTAAAAATCAAATTTAATGAGAAGGAATAAAAACTAATTCTATTAGTTTTAGAAGATTGCTATCACAATCTTAAAGGGGCAGAATGTCATTTCTAGAAATTATATAAAAATGCACAGTAAAAACTGAATAAAATACATATAATACCCAATAGTAAAAGAAACACAAAAATAGTATATAAGTGTATAAAAAGATGCCTAAAAACTTCCATAAAATAATATGAAACCAAGATAGGCTAAAACTAATGCATAAAATGGCATAATTCAAAATCATTGTTCAAACCGTTTGGAATCATAGTGTCAAAATTGAATATGAACTTCATCTCTTCCTTTCCTAATTTGTTTACATAATCACCACCTCTCCAATCTTTTTTTACTAATTTTAAAGCACAAAAAAACATTCCTTCTGGATTTTGTTGGTGAACATGTTTAAAATGATTTGAAACACTATGGGTTTCGACTCCATGTTTTTTTGTTGCTTTCTTAAATTCAATTTAAGAATAGCGGAACATATAAGAAACATCAAAGTCGAAACAAATTAGGAAAGGAAGAGATGAAGTTCATATTCAATTTTGACACTATGATTCCAAACGGTTTGAACAATGATTTTGAATTATGCCATTTTATGCATTAGTTTTAGCCTATCTTGGTTTCATATTATTTTATGGAAGTTTTTAGGCATCTTTTTATACACTTATATACTATTTTTGTGTTTCTTTTACTATTGGGTATTATATGTATTTTATTCAGTTTTTACTGTGCATTTTTATATAATTTCTAGAAATGACATTCTGCCCCTTTAAGATTGTGATAGCAATCTTCTAAAACTAATAGAATTAGTTTTTATTCCTTCTCATTAAATTTGATTTTTACTCTTTTCCATATTATCTGACTTTTTATATTATTTTTATTTAAAACATAGCACTTATATTTCTATATGTCACACTCTATTAATATAGGCAGAACGCCATTTTTTATGTTTGCATTTGGCCACCTGATGTGAGGCTGGGAGTGGAGCGCACGTGCGTTCCACCTGAGTGTGACCCGGAAGCAGAGAGAGACCCGAATTTGCTGCTTGAAGTTGGAACGCACGTGCGTTCCACTTGTGGTGCATTGCGGAGGTTGGCGCCGGGTTGGAGCGCACGGACGCTCCACCCGGAAGTTGGTGCTGAAGTTCCGGTGTGCGTACGGGGTTGGGGCGCACGTGCGTTCCACTTGCGGTGCGTCCCGGAAGTTGGTGCCGTAGGTGGAGCGCACGTTGCGTTCCACCAGACGGAATCAGGAAGTGCAATATAAAAGAAGACACAGCCGGCCGGCGGCATTTTCAAACAAAGAAAACTTTGGAAGAAACACTAGAGCCAACTGAGAAAGCCTGTTAATCAGGCGAAACGCGTTTTGGACACTCATTTTCAACTTTGATAGACTTTTTATTGGACTATATCTACACCCAATATATATTGGTTTAGTATATTGCCATTTTATTTATTTTATCTACAAATAAACAAGAATTATTTTCCAAGATCCCTGGCATACTGAGTATCTTTATTGAAGACCATCAGGAGAAATAACAAGCAATCAACAAAAGAAGGGTTTGGACAACCCCCTAATGGTCCAAGAGAACATACTTTAAGAGTCATATGACGGTATGACTCCATCCTTGTGAGTGCTTTTATTCTCATTTTTATATGCTATATATTGTATAGATATACTACGCTATTTGCATATATTCTATTTTCCAGATTGTTCAAGGTACTCCACAGCTCCACCTATAACTCTGTATGTATTATATTATGTTTTTAGTGGTGTAAGGGATACCACTCTTTTAGGTGTTTTAGAGCTACTTATTTGTTTTTCACAGCGTGTATATTATTATTCTGTACTTTTTAGAAATGCTTTTTTTTTTTTCTTCTTCTTCTTCTTCTGCCTGGAGATCATAGAATTGATACAGTATCTGTCGGGGTGCCAGGTGGTCTGTCACAAATATAGATATAGAATATGTAGTATAGATGGCAGCACTCACGATCTCCAGTAAAATTCTTTTTTTATTGGCAAGTTTAAAAGATGGGATCCACGTTTCAGTCCCTATATGGGACTTTCATCATGATTGCTACATATAGGGACTGAACCGTT